CCCCCCCCCCCCCCCCCCCCCCCCGGGCAATACTGTTGACTCGAGTTCGCACAAACTTGAACCAATCAAAAAGAATCATCCCCATGCCTGGAGGTGAGTGCTGTAGGAGGAAATCCCTGGCTCCATCCTGTGCGTCCACTGGTTGGTTGAGCCGGGGATGGAGATCGGCGGGGGCAGCGTCGCGAACATGCGCGGCTCCCACTGGTACACGTGCATGCGACTTCCGCTACTGCCGGCGTCGATGATCTGTGCCGGGATACAGGAACGCGCGGGGCAGAAAAAAAACGCTCAGCAGTTAACTCTATTTGTCTACAAGTGTTGTGAGGAGTGGGAAACAGAAACAGATGCGGTTCGCGTTATGCCGATGCTAAATAGGTCAAGTGCCTGCCCAAAACGTCTCGGGATTGGACTCGAAACTGGTCTGTAGTTCCCTAGTTCATTCGGGACGTGGCCTAGCGGAAATATGGGTACCGTCTCGCTGAAGTCTTTGGCGAAGGTCGAATGCACACGAGTAAACACCGCGAATATTTTAGCCTCCTCCTGGTGCAGTTTCCTTCCAGTTGCCGGCGGGCCGGATCTACTAGCGAGGTGCTGTACCATGGGAAAAAAAAGATAGCCGAATGTGTTTGAAAAGATCAGGGCACGACCCTTGTCAGGTCAGTACCGCACGTGTTACAAACTGGACGCAAGCCCTTGGGGCGAATGCTCCAGATTGTTGTCGATTCTTCACATGGTCTCATTCCTACCGCTGAAGATTATTGTCCTCACATACAATCATGGTTGCGGTGGCTGTGTTGTTATCTCGAAGGTGCTGTCAACGCACGCTAGGCTAGAAGTATGGCATGAATTATCTACACGAATATCGTGCGTGGAACAAACAACGCGCAGTACAGCAGTAGCACGGTAGCATGATGGGCGCTCGTGCATTTATGTGCATGTGGAGAGTACCAATTCAGTGAACGTTGCAGTATTTGCTGTGCCCTACATCACCAACCTGTTCGTACACTAGGCACTAGGCACGCGCTTGCACAGGGAGCAGAAAGCCGCCGCAGTCATGCGGGCGGGTACGCACACCACGATTCTCATTGCCCACAGCAGTACCATGTTTCGAGGTAGCGTCTGGTCAAAATTGCGTCCAACGGATTACTGCGATCATGTGAACCAAACGAAAAGATCCAAAGGCAGGTGGGAAAAACTTTAACGTTCTAAACGGCACCATGTGCTGTGTCCATCGTGTGCTGAAGAACGCACACACCAGCAGGGTAGCAGTACTGTGGGATGCAACATGAACACGAAAACAAGAGTACAAGATCCACCGCAGTGCTTGCAAATGTTACCGTTAGACTACACCCGCCGCCGCCAACTGCCTTGAATGCCCTCTGTGCAGTTACTGCAGAAAAGCAGCACACGAGACTCTTCGAACCAAACCCGGGAAATGTTTCGTTGCGCTCACCATTCCATGGGCCACTGTCGAGTCCAGTAGCGACGGGTCCGAGTACTCCGCACCCTCGCATGGTGACAATAGCGCATGCAGCAGCGATAACGACGGCGGGCGCAGCATTATTGGCCAAACTACAACTGCCCGTGGCTGCACTGGCAGAGAGAGGCATGCACAAAGGGGCCCGTCAACTCTTACATTGAGGCATCAATAGGGTAGGTGGTTGATAGCGCGGGGCCCCGAGCCGAGTGCATCATAGTGCACTCAGGACTCATACCTCGTTGCTTCGGGCGGAGCCGGAGAGAGAGAACAGCGACTGAGAGGGAGAGGGAGAGATGGCGTCATACTGGGTATCGCAGGAGAGGTACTTTTGCAAGTACTGCAAAGTGTGGCTTTCCAACCATCAAGCGGTGAGATTATCCTTGTCTATACAACATTGGAGTACACGAGCGGGATGCGTGTCTGGTACAGCAGTAGAGGTCCCTGTTTAGTGCCGGCTGAATAGTGCCGGTTGACGGTATGTGTGCCGGTCAAATCTCGGCGCACAGAACCCGCCCTGAATAGTGCTAGACCGGCGCTGTTTAGGGCTGCCCACTATAGTGCCGGTTCGGGCCCCACTGAACCCCACAATAGTGCCGGTTCAAGCACGCACGCACACACAACACACAAGAGACACACACAACACAGAAGACAGACACAGAGGAGAGGGTACACGTGCTGCTGCAGACCCGAACAGCTCTAGTGAGGGCGGGAGTTACAGCTACAGCGGCTGTTTGATTTCTTGCATGTCCCGTCGTGCGGTCGTGTTTTTTTTTTTTGTTCTGGCTACATCGAAGGAGGGTGAGGAGGAGACAGATTTAGCTTCCTCCTTCACCAATAGGTTGTGCCCGCAGGAGCTTTGCAAAAGTGGTACCGCCAAAAATCCATGGGCTTCATGATCAGCGGTTTGCTTTCGCTGTCGAGGAGTGATGTTGAGGTTGCGCGAAATGGTTTGATCCGTTCAAGGCCAGTGCCACGGCAGTCTTGCCAACAAGATACTGGAGTATTGGACATCTATTAGGTGCATGCTTTGCGATATTCATGTGAAGGGTTTAAGTCAGGTTGTGCAAGTGTGCAGCACGTGCGCTAAGGTGGGTACAGCAACAAGTTGCAGCATGTGTGTCCCGTCCAGTTAACTTATTACGCAAAATACGTGTGTTCGACAGGGCAGGATCCACCCCTCTTGTGGCACAGCAGTCTGCCAGCGACGCCCATGCCATGATCTCACCATGTACGTTTCATGTGGTACTCTGTTGGCCCCGCAAAGCAAAGCGCTGTACACAGTTCGTCAATAGTGCCGGTCTGGCACTTGTGAGGGATTTTCAGAGTGCCTGAATAGTGCCCCTTGGCACTATTCAGGCACTCTGAAGAATAGTACCGGTGGAATTCTTGCGCACACCCCGACACTCAACAGGGACCTCTACTGTACTGCTGCAGGTAACCAGGTGCTGTGGACCGTTATACTGCTGTAGCCTTCATGATGTCTTCATTTAAAGGAGAGATGCCAGTTACGGAGCAGGTACAGCAGATGATAAACAAAGTTCCGCTATGGCATCATTTTTCAAATCATCGTCGTACTGCTTGGACAGCAGTAGTCCACAGAGCAGGTTGCCGCTTCATCAACTAAGTACTTCTTATACAATGATGGTAAGGCTCACGGCCTTGCAGCAGTGTCTCAAACATGAACAACAGACAGTTGTCAAGACCATTTAGTGAGTGCCGCCGTTTTTCCTCGTTGTTTCTGAAGCGCTATACACTAGCCTTTCTGCTGAACGAGTGTGCCGGGGGTGCTACAAGCCCACCGATTCATACTACATTTGTACCTTTACACAACAGAGGGTGGGTCTGATTTACATGTGAATCCACGGCCAGTCTACACATCTACACGCGAAGGAGGGGGAGGGGGGTGGAATTACCGACACCTTAAAAACGCATACGGCAACGGGCGGCAGCCTTCCCGGAATGGAGTGTTTTCAAGCTGATCGGCAGCGGGGACTCCCTGCTGTAGCATAGCCGCGTACTCCAATGTATCAACAAGTCTTGAAGTGTAGGTAACATCAAGTCTTGCGTCACATTCGGAACAGACGCAGTATTTCCCTGAAGAATCGCAGGGTTGTAAGTTGCTGTACCGACTATTGTTGTACCATTCGGCCCGAGCGCCCAAACCGGCACAGCAAGGCGGCATATCCCTCAGATTCGCCCCCCCCCCGTGTTGCCTGCTACTGCTACTTGTTTGGGGCAGCACCAGGGTATGCTGATAACGTCGCGCTACCTGCGCATTCCATTGATTTACCGCCACCTCATTTTTAGCGGAATTGGTTGTGCTGTTTGACGCGTCGAATGAAGTGGGCACACATGATGAGCAGGACTCCGAGACAACTCGTGTTAAACTCAAGTGGCGGTATATCGTTGAAGGGTTGTGCGGATGAGAGATTTTGTGGCGTGCGGCGGTACGACGTGTGACGGTGCATGGGGGGAGGGAAACGTGGCAAGCGGTTGCCTGGGCGGGTTACCACCGATTTACCTTCACGGTATACCACGGGCGGTGCTGCCATCCTTACCCAAACCCTCGACACCAAGTATTGTTTTTCACGACGCCTATCGTTTCGGGAACCCACGGAATTCGAGGGAGTCGCTAGAGAAGATCGGCCCACCGGGAGAATGGGGCCGCGACAATGGCAACAACAACAATAACAACCAAGAGCTACGACACTTGTTGTCAGCACCAATGCACGCTCACCCTTTTTTTTTTACCTTGTCGGCGGCCGGCGTTTTCAGAGCATTCGCAATCATGACCAAGGCAAGAAGCACGTCGAGATCGTCGCCGAGTTCTTCCGTAAGAAGCGCGAGGACAAGCTCAAGGGGGCGCAGAGCGAGTCGGACCTGAAACGGCAGATGGAGAGGATCGAAAAGGTGAGAGCATGAGACGGGGGATAAGAAATGGTTGCCTTACGGTGTGTGGGGGAAGGGTTCAGCAGCGGACGTAAGTTAAAAGTTTTCTTTTTCCACCAGCGGCTGTTGCTTGTTTGTTTCGTTCGCCAAAAGTGACCACATGCGTTCTCGTATTCCGCGGTGGTGGCGGGGGGGGGGGGGGTACTCTTTTGGTTTGCATGCCTTAGCGGTTAGACCATTGACCACGCGTCCTCGAGAGGATGGAGCATTGTTCCCACAGGACCAATCACCGATGGCCAATCGTTCCCTCCTACTTTGCCAAAAGTGACTCAACAATGTCTTCCCTAGTCTGTCTATCCTAACGATATCCCTTCCCGCCTTTTCAACCCACCTCCTATGCCCCAGTACAGCTACCGTCCTTTCCTCTCTATTCCATGCCTCAAACATCTCCCTGTACGTTCCATCTATTTCTCCCAGCTCAGTCACGTACACTTCCCTCTCCTTCTTGTACCACGGAAATGAACCGCGGTGGTGGTGGGGGGGGTGTACTCATAGTCGTGCATGCCGTAGTCGTTAGACCATGGACCTCGCATCCCTACAAAGCCGGGACGGAGCACGCCAGGTTCGCACCGGACCAGGCTCTCACATCACCAAGCGCGAAACGCCGTGGGGTATTCGGAGACTCGCATGAAGGGTGCGCTGCATCCTGCTACGGGTGTTCGGCATCTTGTGCCTACTTCCTTGCGAACGGATGACAGCTGCGTATGACTTAATATATTATCTGGTACTTACACTTCCAGAGACAGTTGTAAGCACTGTGTAACTGCCTCGAGGATGATGCTTGACCAATTTAACACAACGTGGTGCGATCATCTTCCTTGCGCGGAGTGAGGGTTCTCCACCCCGCACAACATGATCTACTCGGCCACCATTATGGTTGCCGCCAAAAAAAAAAACAGAGGTAAAAAAAAAAAACGGTAACCTGGTTGCCGAGTTTTCGCGAAGTGCATTGGCTTGTTTTATTCACAACGTCGTTGCCAAGCGACGAAAACCCAACCCTGCTGGGCGGCAAACACCGGGGGGGAGGTGGTGGGGTGGGGAAAAGTAGCCCTTGATTGAATACCTTCCGTGGACGACACAAGATAACACACCCCAGAATACGACACCCCGGTGATAGTTTTGGGCGTTTCTGACAAACCATCGATTAATCACCGGGGCTACACGAGATNCCCCCCCCCCCCCCCCCCCCCCCCCCCTCCCTGTATCACCAGGATGATACCGCATTTGCCCCGTGGGCATCGCACACACATAACATCTGCGTATCTCTTTTGGTCTTACCCAATAGCAAGGTATTCAGCAGCCTACTTTCTTGTCTGAGCAGGACGATGGCGCACTCTGTGGCCACGGAGGTCATGTGCTTCGGATTCATGTCACCTGCGTTGAGCTCCTTTGCTTTACCACATTCCGCAGAACCAAAAGTATTCGTCGAACAGGCAATGCTATCACATCCCCGCAATACCACACCCCTTCCAAGTGTGCGGCAGCAGCGGTACACCTCTACAACAGTGTTACAATACCCGCGTTGTATCACTCACCCTCATCATCACACACCGAAACACACCCTCAGGAGGGGGGTCCAACCCCCCCCTCCTATGTGACCCGGTTGGGTCGTCTAGCTAGTAGAAGTGGAGGATAAGGGCCAGAGGGGTAGACGACAGAGTCCAATGATGGGAGAAAAACAAACAAAACAACCCTGTGGTTATTCGGGCGTGCTCTGTATATTACACCTCCAAGCCCAATCCTGTGCGTGTTCGGACGTGCTATCACCCCCCCCGGTTTATCACACCCCCTTTGGGGCCCCCTGCGAGCAGCACTTTATCACCCGGGTGACATAAGACACCACACCCCCCACAGATTACCACACCCGGTGATAATATTATTTAAGCCAAAAATTTTACCACCGGGGTGTGCTATCTTGTGTCGTCTGCGGTATTTGTCGACGCCAGTGCGCCAGCAGCTGCTTGATCTCCTGCCGCGCGCCTCTGCAGCGCCCGCTCCCGCAATGGGTTGCTTGTCGAGTACCAATCATCATCGTCGTGGAATCCGGAAACCCTATCTTTTGTTTTCGGATAACTCTGCGGGCGGCGCCTGTGCTTGCATAGAAATGCCTCCCTGCTCCGCGAAAGAGACCCCGAGTTCTTCGCCCTGGCTTCGAGCTACCCGGTCGTGCGCGGCAACAGCAAACCTACGGCTATGCTAGTGCTACCTCGCCCCACCCCCCTCCCTCTTCGTTTGCCATAATTTTTTTTATCCGCAGGCGGCGCAATTAGCGCATGAGAAAGACCTCGCCATGTTCGGCGGCGCCGGGGCCGGATCAGGATTGGGCGCAGGATCCGCGGGACCTCCACCCCCCCCTCCTCCACCGGGAGGCCCGCCGAAGCCGCCCCCGCCTCCGCCACCAGGAGCCCCGCCCCCGCCGCCCCGCCGGCCGAGTAGCGACGAAGCGACCGACCGCCCTCCGCCCCCGCCCCCCCCCGGGTCGCCTCCCGGCCGAACTAGTAGTCGGGACGGAGACACGCCGCCGCCGCCGCCGCCGCCGGCAAGGCCTGCAAGTGGAAACCCGTCAGTTCGGGCCGGTGATGTAAAGAGCGAGGAGGGGGCAGCGGCTGGGCGGGAGGGGAGCGGCGGCGGCGGAGGAGGAGCTGCCTGGGACGGGGTGTTCGAGGAGGGAGGGCAGTGGTATCTGGACGGACAGGTGCGATGGGAAATGTGATATATAATTTAGTACCGTCAAATGTTGTTTTTGTTGTGGATGGAAGCGGGCCGTGGCATCCGACCCCGCAGTTTTTGCTGGTTTCGGGCTATGGTCTGAAGACGGAGGGCAGTTTTGGGCTGCCGTCGTCTTCTGGTCGTCGTACTTGTTTGAATCGCGGGAACGTGTTGTGCGACCTGTACAGTTTTGAAGAACTGTTTGGTGTGCACAGCAGTAGTAAATAGTTGCATCCGTGGAGACCCGTGCGTCCGTTCGCAGCTCTTGAGGTGGGGAGGCTGCGACGGGGGGAGAACGTGTCCGTGGTGGCATTCGTGGTTGATTGGACCCTTCCCTACGGATGCTACAGGTGAACTCGTGTAGTTTCGGTCTTTGTCCTCCTTGCGTGGCCAGGTCTTTGCTCCCGTGTTCTCGTTGTGGAGGATTACCGTCTGTGAGACGCAAAACATGACGACCCTTCCCTCCTCCTCTTGCATCTTCACGGCAGGCCATATCGTCACCCCATACGAGCACATAACCACATTTGTTTTGCGCTCGCAAGATCTAAAACCGGGGGCCCGTATGTGTTGCCGGTCCGTTTCGTGGCGGAATTCCTTCCTCGAACCGCGCAGATACATCGAGACAAGCTTGCCGTCGACGCCGCCTGCCAGTACTTCCTGAATTCAGAGGGCCTGTGGGTCGATGCGGTAGTGCTAGCGTTGGCCGACTCGGAACAACCACCACATGACGCTACCGCTGCTGGTGATGCCTCGGCTGGAATCATGGCGACCACTCGGCGGTGAGATCAATTGAGTGATTTTTTTTTTTTTTCTCCAGGGGGCTGTTAGCAACACCAGGGTCCCCCGCTCTCGTGTCAGCTTCCCCCCAAAACTCTCTACATTGTCGATACCATGCTTCCGTCCCTCTCCGGAAAGACTCTGTCGGGAAGAGAACCAGTATTGGCTTTATCTCCTGACGACCCATCGGAAACACTACAAGTGTTGCCTACGTCCTTGATAGACGATGAGGAAAAGAACGCGTGTTTCACATTGTCGTCAATTTCGTATTCCACGCTCACGATCGAGATAGATGTAGCGTTGGTCTTGCGGAAAAACTACAAGTGCTGCCTACGTCCATGATAGACGATCAGGAAAAGAAGGCGTGTTGCACGTTGTCGTCAATTTCATACTCCACGCTCACGATCGAGATAGATGTAGCGTTGGTCTTGCGATGTGTAAGCATCCACATAGGCATACGGCTGTGTGCAGTATGGTTGCGTGGGTGTGACAAAGGGGTGGCGGTGAGTGGCGAGGAGAGCCATCAGCGCGGACGGTTGCGCTTTTCTTGTTTCGAACTTGTCGGGATTCACTCTGTACGGCGGCATTGTTAGCCCCCCTCTGGAACCGAAAGTGTTGGTGCCAAGTTTAGCTTTTCGAGCTGCAGGGTAGGATAATTCTGCAGCACCATGCACATTGTTTCGGGTAGGATACCCCCACAAGAGGAGGCTGTTGACGTGGTGTCCAGTCAAGTCATGCCCACCTGTACCGCCCGCCTGTGATGCATTGGTGTATTTGCCTTCGTTGGCCATGTACAGGGATTTGTCACCGCCCAGCTTTCCCTTGTTCTGGCATACCGATGCCCCGCCTTGGCGTGCTCTGCCATCCCTCTATGCGACTCTCCGGATACGTTTCGGCGCTTCGCGCTTGGCGATGTGCTCGCTTGGTCCGGTGATAACCCGGCTTGCTCTGTCCGGCTCTGTAGAAATGCGAGGTCTAACAACTACGGCATGCACGGCGATGAGTACACCCCCCACCCCCCACGCCTTCCTCCGTACAACATAAGGCATGCCCTTGCCGTATTCTTCACTCTCCCCTCCTCCCCATCGTGCCCACCCCCCCCCTACCCCACGCGGGCACATTTCAGGTTAGACCTCGCCTACTTTGAGGCAGGTGCTGAGAAGGAGACGGTTTTGAGAGGGGTGGAGGCGGCGGCGGTGCGTCTTCCGGCCGGGGAGGGGGGGGCGTGGCCCGCCCCTCGGGAGATGCCTCCTCCTCCACCACCGGACGAGAACACCGGGCTAGGGGGATGGCAGACGGTGAGGAAGGACTACGAGGGTGTTGCCATTTGTGCCCTTGATGCGAAAAATCAATATATTTATGGAACCGGATAGCAGTCCATCGATCCGAGGGGAAGGGTAGGGTATTTTGTGGGACGAACGATGGGAGGAGGTCGACTTCCGCGGCTTCATGGTATCGAGAGTATGAACCCTGTGTTTTGTCAGGTGTTGGGGTTGGTGTTGTTGATGATGCCGTGCTTTTCGTGGGTTGAACAGTCAGCCCTGCGCCTGACCCTGTTTTTGGGCCCAAATTATGTCATATTCCACGTCAGTTCAACAAGCGAAAAGACTGCACAATCCGCGGTGGTGGGTCTTGTTTTTTTTTTTTGAGTTGATGACGAAATAGGATTGCTGTAGCCGCCCCCGTTCCCACCCGGCTGTGGGGCCGCAGGGACATTGCGTAGAGAACAGGACATTCACCGCTACCTCATGGTGCAGGAACGGTCGCAGAAGCTGCAGTAGTGCTGGCGGTAGAGCCATTGCGCGCTGGCACAATTTTCAGAGATGTGCGGATGAGCGGAAAAAAATACACCCGATCAGCGAGAGGAGGTAGCTCTGATTTTAACAATACAGCAAAGGAAACTGAGCCGCCGCCGCCCTTCCCGCCCCTCCAAGGGGTTGATGATACACTGCGAGGAAAGCAGGGAGGCCACTGCTACTCATGGCGCAGCAACGGCAGGAAGAGCTGCAGTGTAGCGCCGGTGGTGGATCAAGCAATGTCGCCCAAAAGTCAGTTCGTTTCAAGAAAAAAACGCACGAAAAAATCAATCCCACACAACAATTTGAGCTTTTTCCACCGTCGCGCTTGCTTCACCCCCGTTCCCAAATCCCAGACAGACCACCCCCTCGCACCCTTCCGCCTAGCATTGCTCCCTCCAGAGCTCACTCCCTAGATGCTCGCCCCGCAGACGGCAGTAGACCTACGCGCGCCCTTGACCCGCCCGTCGACACAAAATCGGCTCAGCCCGTTGTGTGGTCACCCACCACATTTTGTTTTACTTGACTGGCAGGGACTTTTGCTGGACTCTTGGACCCATGCGTCACCCAAAACCACCCCATCTTAGGATTCGTTTTGAGAGACGTCGGCGGAGCGGATTTTGGAGCAGTTTCTTGTATCGCCTCCGTTTGAACGGTAGCTATGTTTTTGCCGGTGGCGCTTTCCGCAAAAGCTCCAGGCCCTCGCGGGCGCTGTGAATTCGGCCGAAAAATGATTGATTTTTGAGGGTTTGATGGGATAGAACCCACCAATTGAAAAACTGACCGGCAGAAACACGCATATGCCCTGTTCACAGGTGTGTGCTGAACCGCAAGAACCAGTTCGTTGGTGGCATCGAGCATTCCGCGTTCTCCTCTCGCTGTCTAATATCAAGTCAAAACAAGATTTGGCGACGTCGACCGGAAAAGCGCAAGAACAAGTTTTTGTGATTTTTTCATCGAACAGCCTGACCACGCGCATACACCGAAAAGGGGGGTCAGGCGCAGGGCTAACAGTGGTCCTGTGCCGTTGTGCTGCTCATTTTATTTCACGGGTACTACCCACCATTACCACCGCCCCCAACGCATCTCGATGCAAAGCAAACCAGCGAACACCCCGGGCGAGAGGTCTCCAAGCGATGCCCCGCGCCTTGCCGCAAACACCCACCGCGGTCTTCTGAATGAAATCGAGACGTTCACCCCTCCTCATTTTTTGCTTGGCGGCGAAAAAACACTTGCTCGTTGCACGTATGCCTCCAGGTAAGCGTACGCATGGTGGACGTGGCTGCGGAGGCGGAGGCCAGGCGCGTAAAGAAGGAGGTCAAGAAGGCGAAGAGGCAAAAACGGGAGGAAAAAACAGAGCGAGAGAAGGTGGGCGTGCGTACGGGGCTCGGCAGCAAGTGCATGCATGAGTACAGGTCCGGGTTCGGAACCTTTGTACTCTCTGGTCCCTTAACGCTTTGTGCCCTCCGTGATCCTTTCGAAGCCGTGTACAGCCCTCTGTGGAAGGGAGGTCGGTGGGTTTATTGGCTTGGTGCGGTGCAGAGCAGCTCGACGCTTACTCTCTCACCGATCGCCTCGATGATTGAGACCTCCAGTGTGGTGTGGGCTTTTGGTCGCCCCCCCGGACACTGTGACGGCGTAGTTGCAACCACCCGGTGGTCGGGATTGGTGTGCAAGGACGTCGTAGCCCGGCCTCTCTCCAGTCACCGCTGACGAAATCGCGTCCGTGCGAGCCTTGACAGCAGTGTTCCTGTCACACCACGCGCGAAACGGTGCAACGATTAAACGCCACAGCCACGACAAAATCTACAGCAACATCGAAGTGACCCATCCCATTGCCCGCACCGCCGCCTCCGTCGCCGCCGGGCGCCGATTTGCGTGGTGACGATGATTTTTTCCCCACAGATGTTGGTGGAAGCGATGGACGCGGACGACGCCATGGGGTCCTACGACCCGTGGGGCACCGGCAAGTACAAGGGTTTCGAGATAGCGAACGATGCTCCCCGCGGCCCCGAGGAGGAGGCGGCGGGCGCCGGGGGTGGGGGTGACGGTGGACCGGCGGTGGCGTTCAAGAAGAGGAAGGGCCCCGGCAACAAGGGCAAATTCAGGAAGAAGGCCAGGGATGATGATGAGTGAAACGTTGGCGGAGGAGGGGGTCTGCACCCCCCCCAGGATGTGTGCAGCGTGTGTTCGCCGGTGCCCGGAGGGATTGCCGCCCGGGTGTTTGCGGAGATATGAGCGACATAGCAATATGAAAGAAAGCACCAAGTAGTGGGACGCGTTTTTGGTGTGCCTGACTGCGTGCGTGAAGGTGGCATTAGTGTCATGACGATTGCTATCTTCTCCTGGTGGGTCGTGACAGACCCGAGATTTGGGGGCCGTTTTCTGCCCAGCCAGCTCGTTTTCACGTTTTTTGCCTGCGTATCGAGCTGGTGTATTAGAAAAGGTTAGAACCAAGCCCCCGTTAAACAACAAGGCTGTAAGACCCCTCGTCGTGTGCTATCACGCGGGGCGAGAAATCGGACAATGTGCGGATATGCAGTTTCATGGGATATGTCTCCCGCCGGGTCCCTTCCAGTGACTTGCAGATACGTACTCCACAGAGGAAGCTATTGAATCATTATTACACGCGTGCTCAAATTACACATTGCGTGCATTTAGTCAATTCGTTGCCTTGGCACAAGCAACGATACACGGGATAACTGAATATTACGTTACTTCCGCAGGTGACAAACGTTCCCTGAGCTTGAGCGTGAATGGTGCGTAAGAATGATACTGCGTTCATTTGTCCAAACTGTGGTTGCCACGATAAGGGTCGGAAGAAGGAGTGAAAAAAGCTCAATCAGTGAAATCATTATCACGATCAAGGCCGGTGGAGTGAAACAGGCCATGGTCCGCGTCCAGTCCGAAATAGCAGGCAACCAATATGTAGTCACCTCACCCTACCTAGGTTTCTCAAGCGCACACACGTGAAACTCCAACAAGTGGCACACCGACGACCGTCTTTTGCTACTGCAGGATACTACAAGGCCCAGACGGGTCATTCACTCGTCATTCACTGTACGCAAGATGTGATATACTCGACCCGTCTTTTCGCACATTGCACATCTCTCGACACCATGAAGGTGTCCTCGTCTACTGCTGTAGCTAGCTATCGGCGTCGTGAGCTTCTTCGACGATGATAGCTTCGCCGGTGTTCATCGCTGAGTGGAATGATGGTGAAATCACCAAACCATTATCACACCATGACCCACCCCGCAGTGCATCGCTGATTGAGCACATGTAGCAGACGACATCCGTGGGGAGTGCTCTTTCCGGACGAGACCGAGTCGTGCGTGTCGCTTTCTTGATGAGACGATGAGACAACTGAAAGTTGGGGATGGCGCGTAGTACTTGCCCGTGTGGGATCTAGTCTTGTTTGAATGACGATTTCAACATCTGGACGGCAAACATGTCTACACCAGGTTGAAATCGGCACTATGCGCATTCTTGGGTCCTGGTTGTACCACTACGAACGGTTGGACGGCTGCTCCATGTTGCAAGTCCTATGCATCCATTCTGCCACCGTGCGGCGAAAGACTTGACGACGGGCCTTCTGCTCGTCGCCAATGAACTCGCGAAAGTTTATCGTCTTGTGCTTCGGTGAGACGACGTCACCCGTCGTCCTTCTTTGCCGTCTTGCCTCTCCCCGCGGCGGTGGTCTCGTGGAACTGGCGGTGATCCCATCAGTGGTTGTTGATGCGTCTGACCTTGTCGTGGCCGATCTTGAAAGTGCGCGCAACCTGCCAGCATAGAGAGGTCCAGAGAAAAGAAAATATTGCAACATCGTTCATGAATGAGGTAAATCGCTTGGACATCGTACAGTGAGACATCGCACATTCAAGCCTGCTCGTCTGGTGTAAACTACAGTTGGCGCCCGCAGTTAAGAAATATTTTGTGAAGAAAATGAGGCTCACTTTTTCACGAAAAATAAGAAAATAGGGTCAAGAAACATAGCTTGATCTGGGTCACACAATAAGAAAGGTCTCAAAAAGATAGGAAGGGAGCGGGGGGCGCAAAAGGGTGACAACCCCCGATCTTCGCCTCACGGAGCTTGCATCATAAGCATCATAATGACGGGGTAGTTTTCGTTGTTGGGCACGTCAGTNAGGCTCACTTTTTCACGAAAAATAAGAAAATAGGGTCAAGAAACATAGCTTGATCTGGGTCACACAATAAGAAAGGTCTCAAAAAGATAGGAAGGGAGCGGGGGGCGCAAAAGGGTGACAACCCCCGATCTTCGCCTCACGGAGCTTGCATCATAAGCATCATAATGACGGGGTAGTTTTCGTTGTTGGGCACGTCAGTGTGCGGGTGAGGCATCATGCGGTGTTCATGCATTTGTTTAGTTTCAGCCCTCACTCATGAGGGAGGTACAGGACCTTGTAGCGATAGCGAGACGTTGCCGCTGGATACATTTCGCTTCTAGGAATGGCCTTGCGTGCAGCCGTCGGTAGTGAGAATCGGGGTTGAGTACGGGGGTCGAGGAAAACACTGCAAATCATTTGTATATTTGGAACGTTGCGTAGTATGCAAGCAGAGAAGTAATAAGAAATTGCCGATTTAAGAAATTCAGCAGGATTTGGCTGCACGAAAAAATAAGAAACTTGAAATAAGAAACTGAACGACATACGCTGAGTTTATAGCCAACAATAAGAATTCGAGGCTGGACCTGAAATAAGCGTTTCTTAACTGCGGGCGCCAACTACTGTACTCCTGTACAGCAGTACATTTGTATTCCTGCTGAATATTTTGGTGTGACGTAGACTGGAGGGTCAAACACGTACCGAACGGCACAGGCTCGCGCCCAACAAACATGCGACGAAAGCACACACACAACACAAGCATACTGCGGTTGTATCGTACACAGCAGCAAAAACGGGGTGTACAGCACATGGACTACAAGAGTATTCCGGAGTACTTGTGTACATTCAAATACCGACACCCGTTACCCCTCTTCGGTCAAGATAAACATTTTTTAAAATGACATCGGCCTGCTCTGCTGTGGCGCACCATCCGACCTTCACTGCTTGTGTACTGACCTTCAACACCGCCTTGTTCTCAGAGCGGCCTTCCTTGCGGAGGTTGAAGAGTAGCATGAGGATCATCCTTGACTGCGGCTGAGCCCAGACCTCGCCCTTCTTCGGCTTCACCTCTTGCACAGAAGTGTCGATGTAGTCCAGGCTCTGAGCAACCTTCTCCGCCGAGGCAGCAGCTGCTGCTTGGACGCGCTCAACCTCCTGCTGCTCACGGTTTTCCCGCTGTGCAGCGGCGCGCGCCATTTCTTGCTCCTTCTTGTCAACCACAGCCTCCTTCGCTCTGAGCGCTTGCTGCCTCTGCACCATCTCTGCCCTGTCCGCCGCGAGCGCTGCACGCTGCTGCTCGAGCTCAGCTTGATGTTTGTCCTGGGCCGACGCACCCCTCGCTGCTGCAGTCTTGACTCTCTTGTCCGACTTGGACGGGCTTCCAACTGCACCACCAGTTGGCTGTCTCCTGCCCTTCGGCTTCGCCATCGGCCGATAGCTGAGAGGCCCTTCTTCGAGCGTGCAGTATCCGACAACGGCTGCGTTGTGTCCAACGCTGATCTGATGTGCGTGTGCGCGAAATCATCCAAAAAGTTCTACTTCTTGTTGACACCGCGTGAGATAAAAAAACTTGTCGCCAAAAAAGGCAAAAATTCGTTGGCTCATGCTTCTACAAATGTTGTAGTCTATACTTCGGAAAAAAAATGTGTACTCGCATTACTTATCCACCACCGTTATAGCCAATAAGCAAGGAGAACAAATGAAAAGGCTCGTTAGACTGCAAGCTACAGTGCTTCTCTTTCATTCCGCACCGTACCGGTTGAGTGAGAAGACGAAGTCATGTGAAAGCACGAACCAGGACCGCCGTCTATTCTATAAAATAAACTTCTCGCCCCCCCACAGTTCTACTCATCCCCAGCAGTTGAGGGAATCTCTGATGCCTCATGCGCCCCCGAAACAGGACCAAAGCAGCGCCGACGGTGGCAGTACCTCCTCCTCCCGGCGTTTTCATTTTTGACATTTCTCTTGTGAAGATCGACATCAATCCACAGATTTTCACAGTATGACCCAAAAATGTGTCCGGCGCCCGATTGAGAAACTTCAAGGCAGAGGCGTTTCCTTGCCAAAATGCCAACAACATTCCACCACTCCTCTGACTGGTACGCGCAGAAGCAGCAACGAACGGCAGATGGTAAGCATGCTACTAAACACCCGGAACAGGAAAACAAAGAGAGAAGCTCGGTACTCGTGACCGTTCTCTTGAATACAGCTTGTACACTAAGGTGTACCACTGTACTTCATACCACGAGAAGAAGAGTCGGTAAATCAGACGATCGTCGACCGGTAAAAGCGAGCACTGAGTAGCGTGTGTCGGACCAGACTGACCTGTTTACTACACCGAAGATAGGGGGGCAAAACGATGAAGGAACCGCTGCCGTCGTGCTGGTGGATTGTACGCCAACGCGGGGGGAAGGAGCCCAAGCTCCGCATCCCCACACGGGTACCATGAATGAAAAACAGAACAAGTCACGCACGACGTGCACAACGCGACAGATTTCGACGGGTGGGCAAGGGAAAGCAAGCAGAGCAGGAGGTTAACGCCGACGGCCACCTGGCGGCGCGGGTCAAGCGCAAGCATCAACACCTTTGTGCCAGCCAAACCAACTAGCTAGGTTGTGGACCATGCGCACGGGCACTAGAGGACGATCTCCTGACCCGCCCCGTACCAACAGCGACTCTCTCTGTTGTCCCCACAAGGGAGCAAGAGGCAGATGGCAGTCAGTAACGTGTGCTTCCGACTTCCAAACAAATATTTGAGCACCCATCCTGAACCAACGTGCACACTCGAGCCCTCGGGTCCAAAAATACAAGCAAGTTACCACCAATCCACACCTACCTTACTTATTTACGCATGTTGTGGACATCATTCTACTCAAGTTGCGCCCCAAAAACTATGCGTTGCAGCGCCCGCTCGACATTCGTACGCTAATCCTCGCCTATACAGCTTTTCCGGTCAACAGCGATGTACAACGGCATGGAAGGGATCTTTCTGCAACGAAACGGACTCAATCCAATACTGTCTACCATGTAGAGCAAGGACAAATCATCGACGAGAGCTCTACAAAGCAACACACAAGAAGACGATATGATGAGACGAACGCACCTCACACGACACGGGGACATAAAAAAAATACAAAACGAAAATCGACAAGCTTTCCCATCACTTGAGGACAGCCAACTGCGCCTGTCAGGGTGTGGAAACCTGGCGGAACTTACGCCCACGGCGCGGGTCGACACCTTGTTATACAAGGAACTATTCCCTCCCCATTCGAAGGTCACAAATCGACAACCAAAAGCTACGCCCTTTGTGTGTGTGAAAAGAACAAATGACGCGCTGCTGCTGCCACTCAGCTCGTGTGTGCGAGGGTCAACCTGTAAAGCTGAGAAAAATGAATTTCCTCAGGGGGAAACGAAGACAGCATTCGTATTTCTAATGAAGCATCGCCGAAATCTTCGGTTCTTCTCCCTGAACACCAAGCACGCAAGTAACCGTGTCTTCTTCGCCGGAGCAATAATCTACAAGAAACAAGCCGGGAGCTGCGTTTACCACCCTCCCCCGGTCCTTTCGCCGATCAATTCTCTGAAAAAGAACATAATGATGCGGGAAAACATCTAAGCGACAAATAAAACGTCTTACTCCTCGCGCGAACTGGAACCATGTGATGAATGAAAGACACCATCAGCCTATTACTACAATCTACCGGAACGGAACGTCAGCGAACCCCCCGACCTTCCGCCACCACCGTACGTTTATCGCTTCGTCCTTGCGGGCCGACCACGATCCCGCCGGCGGTGTCTGTACTCACAAAAAACAGTGAAGGGATCTCCATCCGCCACAACAAACGTTTCGTCTACTACTCCGCCCGCTACACTATCTACGGCAAAGACACACCACCCAAGGTCTTCCAACCGATCATCAGGCAAGAAGCTCGCATGTCAACTATTACTACAAGTGAGGTCTGGAAAGCCTGGCTGGGTTTCATACTTAAATCCGACCTCCAGCAAGCCAGGGGGGAGTGGCAGAATCGTAACAACACACCTCCATCCACCCTGATGCACGTGCACCGCAGGTCAGGGGCACACACAAACCGCAGCAACGCCAACCCCCCCCGAAGCAAAAGGAAAGCCCCACGCCAAGTGAAGAAACAAGCCAGACAAGTTCCCAGTACAGTACAACTACCACACCAACCTCTGGGTGTTATACATCGCTTTCTTACGCGTCCGGGGTAACTGCAAAAGATCGTGACCCGTCCCCCTTCCCGCAGAGGCTCAACACGGACTATCAACTCTAATAGCAGGCAACGCCTTGGTAAATAGTGCTCGACACACCTTCTCCCAACGAGAGAACCGCGCTTGCAGCCGTCCTCCTGGGCCGAGCTTGCTTGCCGCCTTAAGGCGACCAACAAACACCCACGTACACCTCCACCCGCGCCGTACTACCGCAATAGCAGTAACCTACCCACGTCCATTCATCACAAACCCACCACCACCAACAACAACATCATGCTGTTTCGTTGCTCCGCTATCAAAGGAAGTCAGGAAACACCTCCCTGGTCGTCGCCGTCGAAAAAGAAAAGAAAAGAAAAAAGAGCGTCCTCGCTGCAACCGACCTGGTTCCGTTTCGGTGTTGCTTCAGGTGCCGCAACTATTCTAAAAAAGGCAGTGCCAAGAAGCCCTTAATCTGCCCCGACAACGTTGAAAACTGGGGTGTACCAAGGAAGCGCGCCCACCGCCCTCCCCCTACAAAAAACGGAATCAGTTGCTGGGAGGTATATACCCCGGTGGGGTTGGATTCGATAGTTTTAGGGGACGCAGACTAACTACGAGTCGCGCCCACATGAAAACGGCGGCGACAACACCATCACTACGACAAGGACGGCAACTACAGCCACAGAAACAACGACGACAACACCAACAACACCGGAGACGACGATGAGGACGACGACACACGAAGCATTGCCATGTATGCAACAGACACGTGAAGCGCCGAAGAGAGACTTGCCGTTATGAATCAACACCCACAAAGTACAGCAAAGAGAGAGAGAGAGACAGAGAGAGACAGAGAGAGAGAAAGAGAGAATTCACGCAAGGAGGCGAGAAAGACATGTATGCCATGCACTAGCTCCATCCCGCCGCTAAGCCGGGTTAGCCCGCCGATCTAGGTGTGTTAAGGACAGCGCAAAAAAAAAAAAAACGGGGGGGATGAAAATACCACCGGTGCGCTCGCCGGAGAGGCCAAATGGGCGACAACGCTGTACCACACGACAGGAACACATACGTAGCCACCAGAACCCGCCCCCCCCAAAAACATGTACATCTAGGGTAAGACGTACATGACAGCAGAAAAAAAAATACAAAAGGCAACGGACGGCAGGGACATTCTACAGTAGCACTGCTAAAGAAAACAAGGCGCCCGCCTTTTCGAGCCGACGATCTTCGTCGACTCGATTTTCGCTCTAGGGGAAATGCCATTTCATTCTTTCGCATCGGGGGGCTTGCTGCATCTCTTAGGAGAAGCTAACGTCCCCCGGGTGCACCAAATCGAGCCGCATGTGTAGCCTTCGGAACATGCGCTCCATCCTGTCAACCGTCTTCTCCATGTTCTCCAACGCGTGTCTTGTCGGATACGCGCGAAACGTCACCACGGGGGGGGGGTGGATTGCCACGTATCAGATGAACGGGGAAAGCGGGTGGGGAAAGAGCGGAGGTAGGGGCGAAATCAGATGCGCGACGGGAAGGAAGGCAAGGTATGCAGCTCTCACCGTTCTGTCACGTGAACGATACCTTGAGGAGACACAGAAAATTCGTATTTCGACTCTCTGCATAACAGCTAGGCAAAACCTAACATGACCACACCATGCTGCTTGCCTCGAGCCATTACATAGCCCGAGCAGACAAGTTCTTGCTCCGAGACGCAGAATCATCCATTCCTTCTATTGCGCCTTCCAGAGTTCTTTCTTCCAACAGGGATGTTTCGAGCATTTTGGGCACCCTCAACGGCTGCTGACATTCTCTACATGAAATTTGGCAGTCACATCATAGGCATAGCTCAAGCTTCCGCGGGTGTCGAGCTGCCACCGCCTCACCCATGCGGAACGAGAAAGGAGCCGTTGCTTTTTCGCTCTCCCTTCAGGGTGGGGTGTACGCAACAAGCAGCATATTCGCAACAAAATACTACTAAGCTCCAGCTGGTGCTTATACTGTTCAAGATATATTCTCTCTCTCCCTATGGCTCGTTTACGTCGTTGTTTCCCCGACATGTTCAAACTCCACCCTTACCCCCTTCGCGAAAGGCTATTTTTGCTGTCTGCCGTGCACCGACCACGAGAGTAAAAGCACAACATTGCGGCGTAATACACTGCGACCAAAGGAGGCAGGCAAGGCCGTGCTACACACACAAATTTCGAACATGGTATGTATTATCTTGATGCATGCAGTCTCTCTTTGGTTGCATGTACCTTTTTCTAAGGACAAGCACCGTGAAAAAATATCAGCACACCCTCCTCCTCCATCTCCTCCTCCTCTCACCTCTGCCCCTCCACGACCCTAACGTTAGCCTCCACGAGAGTCAGCAGGGCGTTCTCCATCTGGGCGCCCTCCGCCGCCTCCGAAGCCGGTATGTCCGTGTTGGCGGCCGCCGTCGCCGCCAGCTTGGACCGCAGCATCGCCAGCTGGTGGTAGACCGCCTCGATGTTGACCTTCGTGCATGTGTGTTTGTATAGCGCACAGGGGGGGGGGGGGGGGGGGGGG